GTTGATTATTAACATCTCATAATTATAATTGCTGTCGACAATAAAACATATTCGAACTTTTTACACATTGTATGTCCGCTTACTACTGACGACTCAGCCGGTTTTTCGATTGGTTTCTCTTGCACTTTATTAACAACGTCTTCCAAATGCAATAATGTATTATGTGGTTTATTACACGTTTTACATGTACTTGCTTTACAATCTTTATTTACGTAATTGGGTTTTAAACAATTTATGCATAACTTTAACTTTTTTATTGTTTCAAGTCTCGCCTCTATTGATAATTTTAAAAATTTATCACATCTATAAAGAAAATGATTTTCCTTGCATAAATAACAATTAGAATTTGTTGTTGATAAACACGAATTTATGTTTTGCATTGATGTGGCTCTGCCCTTGTCTAAAGTTTCCAACAAGATTGTTTAATTAAAAAATCCAGAAGTTGTTTTAATGTTGGCAATTCTGTGGTCGTTATTGAACATTCCCATGCTCTTTTAGTTTTATTATCTAGCTTAGAAACTATTAAATGAATCAAAATTGTGTCCCAACTATTGGTTGGTTGACACAAACTGTCCAAAGCTCGTAAGTGTTTTTGAAAATGGTCGACTAATTTTGCTTAAATGCGTATGCGATTCTTGGTTTAAAGCATTTAATTCAAACAATTCGATTACGTGAGTATGCACGATGATACGTTTGTTTTCATACCGGTTTCTTAGTAATTCCCACGCGACGAGATAATTCGCGTCTGACGCTTCAAGCGCGTTTATTAACATCATGGTAAATTAAATCCAACGCCGACACTTTAAATTTATTTTGTATTAAAAAGGAACTGTTTATTTCCGGTCACCAGTGATGATGACAACGAAGTAAATATTTTATTGCATTTCCAAATGAAATATAATAAAAAAATTACATTTTAAATTTATATTTTTTCCCAAACCTATTTTCTGCCATTAAATTTTTATTTTCATTGTTTTATTTATTTATTCTTGTTTGTTATTTTTGGTAAATAAAAGCGGGTAATCTAAAGGATCATCAAACGTAGTTAATTGTAAATAAACGAATAATAAATTATTGAAAACTATGGCAAAATGTCTATGGCCTTCTAAGAAACCGGTTATAAAAATATAACCGGTTTCCGACATTTTTTGATAAATTTCACAATATGAGGGAAGCTACAAAATATAGGTATAGAAATTAAATTCCCGTTCTGGTAGGATAATAAAATATGGGGCGTGCCATTTAAAATTTTCGACTTTTTTTCCATTGAATGTGGAAAAGCTTAATTCAATCAATTTTTGACCAGCTGTATAAGATACTTTGATACAACAAATGACTATCTATTTGATATTATCTGAATCGTGCCAATATAGACCTTTTTTGAATGAATATTGGCTGAGAAATGGGGTATTGAAGAGGGATGGTGAAATTTGCAAAAAAAAAATTAAAATCAATATAACGAAAACGATAAACAATTTTTTCGCATATGATTAAAAGGTGTAATAAAAATTATAGTATTCCATTTAAAATAACGAAGTTGTGGGTAACGAAGTTCGGACGATTAACCCCTACTGCCAACATTCTAAAACTGGATAATATTGGAACCTAAAATAGCTTTAACGTACCAATTTCGTGAGACACTATGTGTAAAAAAATTACTAAACCATAACAAAATAAATTAAATGCTCAAAACGAACGTTACAACATATGACCGATGTTTTAAAAATATTTTCGTACTAATACCAAGGATAAACTGGTTTCTTACCTATGTTCGTTTTTAATTAAATACCCATGATATTTTTTTATAGCATATAGAGCTGTTTGGTGATCCAGGAACAAGACGTAAGCAAATCCACGATTCATTCCAGAATATTCCATCATAAACTTCACTTGGTACAAATTACCTATATTAGCGAACAAGCTGATGATTTCATCTTCGAAGACATCTCTAGGAATGTTACTAACGAATATTTCGCACCCTGTCGGAGGTGGATTATTCTTAAATGATTTCGGAGGTCCATAAATTCTCTGACCGAATACTTGTTGAAAAGGCAGTTCCCAGCGGAGCATTAGGGCTTCCATTCTTCTAATTCTCTCATTAGTTTCTGCTACTAAAGCCATTTTTAATCAAGACTTTATTATAATAAACTGTGGAACACCACTACAACACTATTTATATCTGAGATCGGAAAACAATATGTCTACTACTCCGACAAGCGTCTTTGTGTGTAATTCTTGCAAGGCTACCAACCGTTTTAAAATGAAAGTGTCCTTGACCATAGATATTTACTAATAGATGCGGCTTGAACAGCAGTCATACGTCTATACAACCTATTTAAACGGTTTATTATGAATTATTAAATACTTGATTAAAAGAATGAATTAACTTGCTCACCTACTTTAAAATTAATTAAATTGAACAACTCAATTTCTAAAGTAAATATAATTTTAGTTCAATTAGTATACCAGCATGACCAGCATCCTCTTTTCCGATTAAACGGAATTTATTTCCGTTTTAATGTGGCTGATTTAAATCCACAACAGACTCAGATTTATAAAATTACAGATTACCAACCAAGTAGTGAACATTAATTTTAATTAATATTTCTGTCAAACACCACGGAGTGTCGCACCCTACGACTAGTATAGATAATTCGAATAAATCCTCTAGTATGCAACCTGCCTATGGGCAGTATCAGATTCACCGTAGAGGCGGCGGGGTGAATTTTTAAAGTAGAGTCATTTTTACCACTAAACTAACGATTTAATTTCTCAACCCCTAGTGAATGTCACCCCCTGGGACTGGGCATGATAATTCGAATAGGTCCTCTAGTATGCAACCTGCTTATGGGCACCCCCAGATTCACCGTAGAAGCGGCGGGGTGAATTTTTAAAGTAGAGTCATTTGCACCACTAAACTAAAGATTTAATTTCTCAAGCCCTAGTGAATGTCGCACCATGGGACTGGGAACGGTAATTCCAATAGTTACTCTAGTATGCAACCTGCCTATGGGCATCCCCAGATTTAAGACGACATTTCGAGACGTGGCGCGAGTATTTTTTTATCCTGCGAAAAGCATTCCGAATTTATGAATGGGCTTTTCTTTATTTATTTCTTTTTTAATTATTTTTTCTTAACGCCTCTCAATGACGATTTGAAATTTTAGTTAGCACCACTAGGTGTCGCGTTTAAATTTAATTTTCTCGCCATATTGTAAGGTTATCTCGCTATAGAGGCGACAAGCATGCAAACCAGAAAAGAAAAAATCACCATCTGACGATCAATGCTCTCCCCACACCTCCAATAACGGTTTGAAACTTGGACAGTCTTCGTTAGGTGGTGCGTTTGAATTTAAGTTAACACCATATTGTCATAATAATTCCCTATAGCGGCAACAAGCATGCAACTCAACAAAACAGAAATACACTAAAATTATTAAACTTAGCTAGTTGCTCGTTTCTAGCGGTTTTCTTTTTATTAATAGTTTTTGTATAATATTATAATAATAAATAAAAGAAATTAATTGATCGTAGTTGAATTAATTGATAAAATAATTATTCGGGAGACGAGTAGTATAGATTCGCCGATTCTAGAACCTCCTCCTCGAACCTGCGTTCTAGGAGGAGGTTCTAGAATCGGCAAATTTTTTGGGGGTCAGAGGAGGTTCGATGAGGAGAGGAGGTTTTTGAATCGGCGATTCTTTTAGGGGTCGGAGGAGATTCGATGAGGAGAGGAGGAGATAGTAGTGTAAGAATACCTGTTCTAGAGCGGAAGTTGCTCCTGCTGCTTCTGCGGTGACGTCACGCCTCAATGTATTAGGTATAGGGGGGATACCAACTAAAGTTTGGGGGAAAAAAGAAGTATTAAAAGTAACTAGAAATCTAGGGATTTTTAGAAAATTAAATATAAAAATTTAAATATAATGGCGCCACCTAGATTTGAGCGGTGTAAGTACTAGATTTAGGGTTTTTAGAAAATTAAATAGAAAAATTTAAATATAATGACACCACCTATGATTGAGTGGTGTAAGTACTAGATTTAGGAATTTTTTATGAAATTAAACTGAAAAATTTAAATGTAATGACGTCAACTATGATTGAGAATTGAACTTTAAATTGGTGTAACTTGAGCTGAAAAATTAAATGGTTGGGATATAGGATTAGAAATGAAAAAACTTATTACAAAAAAAATAAATATATTAACAATTTTTAAAAAAAATTAATACATTTCAAAGCATAATATTATATAAACAATATATAAAAATAATGTGTGATTAACATTTTTTAAAAAAATTAATTACATTTCAAAGCATAATATAATCTATGATTCGCAATTAATTAATTGCATTTCAAAGCATTATATAAAAAACAATATATAAAAAAATAATCTGTGATTAACCTGTAATATGACTACTACATTTCATCATCATCATCATTGGAACCAATCTTCTTCTTCTTCTTTATAAATTCAATTTTTTGCACAGTACATGTCTTGTTCAGTTCAAGTTCTCCAAGATATACCAAACACATTTCACTTAGTTCAACAATTTCAGCATCGGAAATCACTTCAGCAATACGTTTAGGTAGAAACACAATAAATCCAGCTTCCAGTTCAACAATTACCATAGGCCAAGCTCGGCTTGGAATACGTTTAGCTGCTACAATTGGATACGGTGTATGTAAATGTAAATCACTCACTTTTTTCTTAGGTAAAAATTCACACTGTCCTAAACGATTTAGATGTTCCATCTTTTCAATAAGCGGTGTATAAACTTCAAGTGAACAGCTTGGAGTGTAAGTTCGGAATGAATAAATTTCGCACCAGGCGGTAGAGATAATGTAACCGCAAAAAAAATAATGTGGNTTTAGACGGAAGCCCAAAAGAAAAATGCGTCTGATTATTTCATTGTAAGTGTCGCCAACGTCTATTTTCATAATATTGCGTTTACGAGCAATTTCTTAAATCTACCTAAATCTAAATTAAACTTAAAATTATCAAAATGGTAAACACAGACTTAGCAAGCTCATCAAACTCCTCAACTTCTTCAAATCGGTCATACGTTTCAATCGAAATCGCAAAAGATATGTTAACACGTTTTGACGGATCAAAACATAAACTTCATGAATTTATCGATAATTGTGACAAAGCTAATCAATATGTTAAACCCGAATTAAAAAATATTTTATTCGCTATTATAGAAACACGAATTACTGATAATGCTAGGGCCGTAATAAGAAACCGTTCATTTAATAATTGGCAGGAATTAAAACAACATTTGTTAGATTTATATTCCGAAAAACGAACCATGAGCCAATGGCAATTGGAATTAAATTCTTGTCGTCAAAATGTAGGCGAAAACGTTTTATCCTTTTCAAATAAAATAGAACACTGTTATGTAAAATTAATTAACTCTTTAGACGAGGACCTTACTAGAGAAGCTCGTACAGCGTGCACAGATTTATTGAAAAACGAAGCATTATGAATTTTTATAAGTGGCCTAAATAAAGACCTCGCGTTAATTGTAAAGTCACAAAAACCATATTCTTTAGAAAGCGCAATCGCTTTGGCGTTAGTCGAAGAACAAGAATTAAATTATGTAATATTTGTAACAAATCGGGTCACACCACATTCAATTGTAGATATAAAAATCAACAACCACCCAATAACAAAAATCAATTCCAAAATAATAAAAGACAATTCCATATCAATCAGGTTCAAGGGTCAAGTCAAAATTCACATCGCAGTTCAAATCATAACCCAAACTCAAATCAAAATAACTCTAATAATTATAATAGTAATTACAATTCGAAATGTTGCAATTATTGTAAAAAGAATGGACATGTGATCAGTGAATGCAGAAAACGCGAGTACAACAATAATAAACGAGAAAACAAACAGTATCACAATTCCGACACCCCTCAATCTTATAACTCACATTTAAACTCCCAGCGTGCTCAGCCAAATTCGGCCAAGCCGAGAAACGCAAATTTTGTTCAGGCCGAATCTCAACAGTAAACAACACAAATCGTAACTATGTCGAAATCAATGTACCTCAATTAATCGATGATAAAACTTCGTTTTTAATTGACACTGGAGCTGACGTTTCGTTGATAAAGTTAAATAAACTTAAAGGCGAAATTCCATGTTACGAAGACAACATCATTACACTGAAAGGCATTGATCATAACCCAAATTCCCCATTAAAAACTATTTGTTACGTATACCTAGATCTCGTCGTTAATCAAAATCGATATTCTCACATCTTCCATGTTGTCCCCGACAACTTTCCAATTCCTTTCGATGGCCTTATTGGAGCCGATATGCTTCAATCTTTTAATTGCTCAATTAATTATAAACTAGATACCCTCGAAATCGATGATAATTCCATACCTTTAAATCTAAATACAAACTCAT